AGGTTTAGGGTTTAGGGGCTTTCCACAGTTTAGGAGTTCAGGGCTTGATAGCTGGGAGTGGGGACTATGAACCAACTGTTTCCCCAATTTTTTGCTATACTTGTGTCAGCAGAAACTTAGAATTGCTTCGTGGATAGTGATTGCCCCACGCCTTGAAGTGGGAGGTCTTCAAAATCGCTAGGGCTGAGGGTTAAGTCAAGCCAAGATTTCGAGTTCCAAGCATGTGGTACATCTTGTGGCAGATGAAGGGACCCTGCTTTTTCTGGGAATACCAACTTGGATGCAGCTACTGTAGTATTTAGGGTTTAGGGACATCTCCCATATCTATAAACAGACAGTTTAACGCTGCTTAGGGTTTAGGGTGGGTGAGATCACATACGGCCATACCGGCTCGATATACGAGGCCTGTACAGCGCAGCTATGGTATTCCAGAACAATATGTTGAAATCTGCCCAGCAGCACGAAAGCCAGCGCTAATGTCCTTAGCAGCACCAGTTCCGGGCATTGGGTCTATAGGATTTGGAGTTTAGGGCTAAACACTAAACCCTAAATCCATATACCCCTATATAACCCCTATATAACCATGGTAGTATATCCCAATATAAACCTGATTATAATATAGTAGTTTCCATTTTCTTTTCCATTATCTCTATAAACCCTATTTGGGGTTTAGGGCTCAGGGTTTACTTGGAGGGTCAGGGGGATTTAGTAAGTAGGCTAATAGGGGGGATAACTGGGGTTACTATATGGGTTACAAAGGCTATTAAGCTACTTACTAAGTCCCCCTGACACTCCAAGTAAGTCCTGAACGACGGTTCTTAAAATTGAGCGCCCCGACCTCCAGGCCCTGTATTTTACGGGTTGGGGACGTGTGGTTTAAGGTTTATAGAAGTTGTATAGGGTTCAGGTCCGGAGTTTTGACGGAGTTTTGGGCGGGTTTTGGGCGAGTCTTAATTTTCTGGATTTGAATCAAAACAATGGCCTTTTGGTCGCTTTGCAAGCCTGCCTGAAAAAATGCTCAAAACAGTGGCTTCGGGATGGCTTTTGGGAGCCATTGTGAACCTGTTGGGACCAATTTGGGCTTTTGGAGCCATTTTGACCTCTAGAATTTTTGGGTCGTGATTTTTTTTGCTGTCTGCGCGCATTTCGCGCAAAACACACAAATTTTACTCAAACAAAAGCTTTTGCAGCCATCTGGGCCATTTTAAGTTTTTGTGAATGGGCTCCCCTTACTCAGTGTTTATTGCTGAGAAATCTTTGAATGGGCGGGCGAGAATACAACTTTTATTTATCCTGGCTTGAGGGCTTTTTTTCTCGGACCTTTTCTCCCCGCAGAACTTGTCCACAAGGAAATGCCAGTTGCATGGCCCAGGAGTCCAAAAGCCACCTGCTTCTGGATCACAAGAAGATGCCAAGAAAAGTCCTCACCAAAAGCAATTCATACAGAGCTGCAGGCAAGGCAATCAAAGTTCTTCAGGATACAAATCACAGCTCCAAAGTACACTGGTCACAAGAGTTCTCTGCAGACTGGCGATTCATTTCAGCCAGTGCGCAAGATCAGACTGCACTTTACCCTCACCAAAACTATCGCTACGCCCTTCACCCTCACTGATATCCATCAGAGATGCCGTACTCGCCTGGCCGCCTTGTTCAGCACTCGCTCCGATGGGCTCAAGCTGGGTGTCTTCAAGTCGCTGTTGCTCTGGGCAGGACTGAGAAGCTCCTGGTTCGGCACTCCCAGAAGCACATGCTCCAGCACCATTCTCCATATTCTCGATGTCGAGGCCAGTGGTCAGCAGAGCCCGAGCTTCCAACGCCGCCTGGTTGTCAATCTCGTCTTCGACAGGGGTGTGTCCCAGGTTATGACCAGATCCCACCGCATCAGCAGCAGCAACGTCTTCGCCAGGAATGCTTCTAGCTTCACACTCGCCCTCGAGGTCAACTCTTCTTCCTGCCACGACAGTAGTACGCGGAAAAACCTTCGCTCCTGACGAAGCTGCGGACATGTCATCATCTTCTGACATTGGTTTGACCCTCAACTCGACCTTCACATCTCGTTGCTGGTCATCTACATTGGCTTTCTGCCCCTCGTTGTCGACAACCTGCTTATCCTTGTGGTAGTCCTCCTTAGCCTGCAGCTCCATCATGTCTCGATTAGCCTGGAAGACTTCTAACGTTGCAGGCCCCCAGCGCCGGCGGATTATGTCGTCATCCACCTGATCCTCCACATACAGCTGGAACCACTGTCTCCCCATGACCGACTCCATAATGGCGCCCAGGTCCAGTAGATCATTGTCAATGTTGGCTTCCACATCCTCCTGAACAGAGGCCACCGGCTCCGTGTCGGACTGATTCGCATCAGGTCGGCTTGCACCACCGACTGGCTCCCACCGTCCTCTTTCCTGTTCGCGTCTCTTCCAGATGCTGCGGCGTCGATGTCCATGTCGCCCTCATCCTGCGCCGGCACCTGAACAATCTCAGTATGGACAGAGAAGGCCACCTGGGGAACATCATCTTCAGCAACTTCACCTTCAAGCTGCGTGGTGGCAATTTCATTGTGCTCTGAGTCCGAGACCGACTCCGTGATTTTTAGCTTTTTCAACGGCCTCATCCTGTTGGGGGGCGCGCGAGTTCAGAGTGGGCAACCCAGTCATCCCAATCTCGAGCCGCTGCCGCCTGATGCCCTTGCCACAATTGTTCTATCTCGATGTGCCTGTTGGATCTCCTCGTTCTTTACCATTACTTCACGACGAGCAAGCTCCTCCATCTCCACTGTTGTCGCTGGTTCCCACTCCGCGGCGGGTGCTTTTTTGACCAGGACAGCATTAGAAGATGAAGCTCCACTTGGCTGCGTGTCCTCCACCTGGATGGCTCCAACGGTGCCAGGCAGTCTGAACGGACCAAAGTCTGCCGCCCTGACTGCATCAAGTTCACTCCATCTGGCTTCAGCCCATTCGACATCTTTATCCTCAACGCACGTGGTCTCCTCCTGGTACGTGACAAGCAGGGCCCACAGTCGGTCAGCCCTGTCTCTGGACAACGACGTGAGCGGCATGACCCACTGCTCCCTCCATGGATGATGTTGGCCCGCTGGTCTTTGGCCATTCCCTCAAAGTGTGCTTGGAGCCTAGCCAGGCGGCTAGCAAAGATCTTCATGGGCCCAGCACGATTGAGCATTTGCATGTAAGATATCGCGTCTTCTTCTTGAGCGAGGCCACCCTCCACGATTGTCCCTTCCACGGGCGAACTGCTGTCTCGCCGATTGTTTGGTCAACTCGCCCTCATACTTTAAGACTGACTGCTCGCAACGTTCAATGTCATCACCGAGGTCTGGAGGAGCACTTCTTCATCCACAATCTCCTCCGCTCTGGCCATTGCTCGCATCAGGTCAGCGAAGAGCACCCCTAGGAAGCGGATAAGGTCGCAGTAGGCCTTAGCACGTTGAGCATGGTGCATCTGGGCAAGATCATTGGCAAGATTTCTCACCGTGCGTTCATGGAGCATGTGTCTGTCTTGCCCGGTGAAGTTCTCGGTCTCATTCGTGACGCCGACTGCGTCAGACCACAGTCTGACACCCGGTCCAAGTTGCTCAAGCGTGGGCACAAGCGAGACGTGCCTGATTGTCGTCTCAAGGGCCACCGAGGGTAGTGGAGGCGCCGCCTTGGCCGTTCTCTTTTTTTGTGTGTGTGTGTGTTTGCGTGGCTGTCTCGCTGATAGCACGGACCGTCCAACACAACCTGTAACATGTTCTCCCTAAGCCACGGCTCTGTGGAGTTCCACTGTGCACTATCATCGACGGTCATGACAACGGGCACTCTGTGGAGCCACAGCCGTATGCGTAAGTGCCTTTTTGCGAAAGGCCCAAGGTGTGCATCGAGTTGTTAGCTTGCACCGAGGCCCCATGGCCAAGTACAAACAGCATGTAGTTCAGTTTGTCAAAAAAGATGTAACCATGGGGTTCCCTGTCATAGTCTTTGGAGGTCCGGAGCTGTTTCCCCCTGCACCGTTTGGATGCAAGAGGCGCCCCAGCCGAAAAAGCTTCCCTTTGGCCAATGTGCCTTTGCCGGTCCTGGAACTTCAAGCAACATGCCAATATGTTTTTGGCGAGCTGCTACTTTCAGAAGCCAAGTGAGAAGGCATAAGAGAGTTATGCACCTGGATATAAGTTGACAAACCGAATATTAATGGGGGTCTATCACCGAGCGTTCACGAGTGCTTACCTAAACAAGCTTCTTACCGGCCGTGGCCAACAGGTCTTGTAACATGTCAGGACCAGCTGGGAGCATCGCCGGGCTTGCTCGTGCATGCGAACAGTCTGCAAACCCATGTGCACCTGAGTAGCAACCTGTAGAGCAAACCGCGTAAGGATACTGATCAAGCAGCTGTTCTGAGAGCCCGCATGCACATAGCTACCATGAGCCCCCAACGCATACTGCAGATAAACACCATGAGCCATCTTGTGCTCCGACAAGAAGTTGTCCAGCCACCATCCCTTCACAGGATAATCCCACCACGGCTCATAGCCCGAAGTCGCCACCTTTAGTGTTCCGACCTGTGGTGGGATCCCAACAGAAACAGCAGAACATACACATTTATGTGCATATATCTATGATTTGTTTACTGACATGAAACCTCCGTACCTACTTTAAAGCCATTCCGATTGCCTTCTTTGCGAAGACACAAAAGTGGCCGTGGATTTTGATGTCCTTCTTCACCTTTGTCCCACGCCCACAGGTGGGCTGAGCATTGGGGCGGACCCCATTGAATGCCACGGCAGGCAACCCTGTCCAGTCCACTGGCTTGCCAAATTCCATAAACGCCCCGCGGAGGTGCATACGCAGCTTTCCAGGGCTCATACCCCGAAGTCACCACTTTCAGTGCAAGTCGTCGGCATGCTTCGATGAGATACACGATTTGGTATGAAACAGGGCGAAAAAAGAACACAGAATTCCTCTCATCCCATCGAAGCCACCGCGTTCAAGTTTTTTTTGTCTACGTACGGGTGGGTCTGATCTTGATGTTACTCATCTTAACGATGGGCCTTGTCTGGCTTGAGGGTTTAGGGTTTAGGGTTGGGTCCAACGAGCTGCCTTCCCTCTGAGTTCGCCATTTAAGGTTAAAGAAAGATCTCTTGCCTCTTAAGGTTCAGGTTTTACAGTCCCACCCTTAAGTAGATAGAATATGGGGTATATGGGGATCTTATTATAGTATACCCAAATCCATATCCTATCTACTTAAGTGCGACTATAGGGTGTGGGGTATAGGGCTTCAGAAGCTTGACATGGGGACTCCTCAACCTGAGCTGTATAGAATTAGAATCCCCAATAAAGACCCCAAGTAACCCTGTAAAAGTTGAGCCATCACAGTTCTAGCTACTGTGGTTTAGGGTTTCAGGGTTTAGGGTTTCGGGTTTAGGGAAGGTTTGTTTCATGACTCAAGGATGTGGTTTGTATGGGGCAGTCCTGGAGACTTTGAATTGCACATTCTACAAGTAACTGAGTAAGGTTGCATCGACGCATAGAAGCTTACCTAGCCCTAAAGCCGCACCAAAGCCCAAACCCCATTCCCTAAAACCTAAACCCTAAAGCTTTAACATGCGCTGCGGAGATACGGTAAGGGCCTACAACTGTCTCAATATACCCGCCGCCATAATACCTGTATTCCCTGCCGCTTCAGCACCAGTGCGTCATTTAGGGCCGGTTTAGGGTTTAGGGGTTCGTGGGACTTCGTAACTGCTTGCAGTTTAGCCTTCATGGGACTTAGTAATCAGTTATAGCCGGGATTGTTGTCCTAATTATCATTGGGGCACCCTGGATAACATGCAGTTCGGAGGGCTACAAAGTAAGGCTATAAGCCCAGTTGCACGTAGTTACGTAGCCCTATGAACCTCCAGGTTTATCTTACGCCCCTGATCACGTCCCGAAACCTCACACGTCACGAATCTCGTATATAGAAGAAAAGCTACATGTAAGTTACTGAACTTTACCCTTGAACTGCGAACTCCAAATCTCAAAAACCCTCTAAAAGTCGTACTCCGTATGCCTCAGAGCGTCTTCACTCCTGCAATCAAGCCCCTCACCATCAGGCGCAAATCTCTCATCCAGCGGATTCGGAAGATCTTCCTGGGTTTAGCTCCTACACCAGCCCCGGTTGCAAAGGATCGGAATCTTTGTAGGGCCCTCTTCGGGGGGGGTTCCAAGTTAGCTCGGTCTGGGTTGCAGGGGTCGGGTACTCAAACTTCTCGGCTTGGGGCTTCATCTTTGGGGTTATATAGGGGTTATATAGGGATATTGGGAAAGAAAATGGAAACTACTATTTAGGGTTTAGGGTTTAGGGTTTAGGGTTTGGGGTTATAGTCCCCCTCAGGTAGATAGAATATGGGGTACATCATTGGGGTTATATATGTGCAATGGAAAAGATAATGGAAACGACTATAGTAGAATAGGGTATATATTGTTGTTATAGTCCCCCTCAGGTAGATAGAATAATTTGGGGTATATGGGGATCTTAGTATTATATACCCAGAGCCATAGTCTATCTACTTCAGGGGAACTATAAGGGATGGGATCCTGGTTTGGGCTTATAAGAAGCATAAGGACTTCGGGGGTACAAGCAGAGGTTGAAATCTGACGGTTCAGGTTAAGGTTTAGGGTTAAGGGGCTACAGTCCCTCTTAAGTAGACAGAATATGGCTTTAGGATGCTTTGGGTATACTATAATAAGACCCCTGTATACCCCATCTATTTACTTAAGGGGGACTATAGATTCCGGGTGTTGAGGGCTTGGGATACAAAATGTCCTGGGTCATGCGCACAGTTTGCATGCGGGAGTCTTTCTGAAAGGGCCTGCATCTCTGTCTAGGTATCTACCTTCCCCGAAGCAGGATAATCCTTGTCCTAGCAACCCCTCAAAAAGGGACCACAAAACTTTCTCTCCCTAAACCGCAAAGCCTACACCCTTAACCCCAAAGAAACCTTGAAACCCAAATCCCTAAGCCCCAAGCCCCTCTTAAGTGCCTTAAAACCCAAAACTCTAAAAACTCCACCCCAAGCCCGTTTTAAGTGAGGGCAAGGCTTCACGATGCGCACCAGTCGTATCAACCGACAGACTCTGAGCAGCGATGTAGGAGCCCCTTCCACATCTGCGTCTGCACCTCCTTGTCTGGGTTCAGGGTTTAGGGTTTAGGGTTTAGGGTTTAGGGTTTAGGGTTTAGGGCTAGGTTGGCCCCTAAAACCCATTGAAAAATGTCAGTATATATGGTCCCCTATTCAAGACATGAGGGAAGATATTAAATATCCCAGGGGCCTACCCAGGGTTTAGGGTTTTGGGTCCTAAACCCTGAACCCTAAACCCTAAACCCTAAACCCTAAACCTTATGTCTGGGCATTCTGGAGCTCCGGGATCCTGTCATTCTTGTAGGTTAAGGAGGACCTTAGACCCAAAAGATTTTCAGTTTTAGGACCCTATGGTATAATTCTTTATATGAAATCCTAAAAACTGAAGGTCTTTGGGGTCTAAGGGAGTATGCTTTGAGACCCCAACCCTAAATCCGAAATCTTTTTGCTGGCTAGCACACACTAAGAGCCGCTCTGCCAGGACACAAAAAGCCGAAACCAAAGCTAAATTCCAGTGCCCTAAACCCGGAAGTAAACTTAAAACCCTGCGCCCCAAACCCTAAACCAATACTATCCCCAAGCCTAAACTATGAACCAAAGTCAACTTCACCTTGGAAATCTTCTTGTCCGTTTAAGTCTGGGGTCTGGGGGTTAGGTTTTTGCGTCCCTGAGTATGATACCATTCTGTCACCTGCCCGGGGATCTCTTACGTATTTTCATGGTTGTCCTATGAAAAGGCTCAAATGATGAACCTATGTACCCACCGGAAGCAGACACCATCCCCATACACTTTTTGAGAAAGCCCGAATGGCCTGAAACGAACTGTAGAAGAAGGTCTGCTCCACCACTGCCGAACAAAAACCTTGGCGGAATCAACAGAAGGTGTACGAGTTGGATTGAGGCTTGAGGCTTGAGGCTTAAGGCTTTGAGGGCTAGAGTCTACCAGAACCTTGATGCTATTTGCAAGTTGTTGCATACGTATCTGATTTGCCCTGAGTTCACCCTAAACCCTAAACCGGTATCCACTGAATTCAAAAGCTTTTCCTGTAGACCATGAAGGCCAGAACACTACCACTGTGCTCCGATTGAACACGGTCTTTGGGGCCCTAACCCTAAACTCCAGAAATCCCCTGTGTCGGCCAAGCATCAGATCAAAGAAGTTCCAAATCTTGTCACTGCCGCACCTGCAGGTACCCTAAACCCTAAACCCTAAACCCTAGAGGTTTAGGGTTGAAGGTTTGGGGCCAAGGCACGAGTTTAGAGCTTGTGGTGCAGGGTGTCGGGTTTTGGGTCTAGAGTTTAGGGTTTAGAGTTTAGGGTTTAGGGTATAGGGTTTAGGATTTGGGGTTTAGGGTTTAGGGAGTAGGGTTTAGAGCTTTGGTTTCCCGGCTTGGGGCTTAGGGTTTAGGGTTTGGGGTTTAGGGATAAGGTTGTGAGCTTTAAGCCTTGGGACTTGCAGTTAGGACTTTCCGGCATCAATGTATATAGCAGCCGGAAGGGATGGAAGAGAGTTGGATTTTGGGGTGTTCCTTCAGCGCCTGACTTTACTCCGACTTTACTCCACAAAGCCTACAACTTCGACAGGAGGCTCTCCATTCAATATGATCACCCCCAGCAAGGTTTTGGGTTTGGGTTTAGATTTAGGGCCCTGTTCGTAAGAATCGAAGTACAGAGAAATCTCTCAGAAAACTGTGAGTGGGTGGGGGGATCACCTCAGGGACCACACAGCAGGGGACTACAGGGGTTGCAGCTTAGAGTACATGCCTCAACATATACTACTTTCCCTTAATGGGGGACCCCAATGTAGCCCCCAAGTACTATCTTTATTATGGGAAACCCCCAACAAAAGTTACTGCCATCTCCGCAACCAAAATTCCTTCCATACCCGTACATTCCCAGTGCTTGTCTCTCCTCTGTTCCTTAGACGACCTGGAGAGCCCGACCTAAATGATACCGCTTAGGTTTTAGAGCTCAGGCTTTTAGTATGTAGAGTTTCAGGCTTAGGGCTTACCGTCCTTACTATGGTTCAGGATATACTCCTGAATCAAGGAGTATTGGGTTTCCTAAGTAAGGCACCACAGCTAAAGCCTAAACCATACCCTACACCTTAGTCCCTGGCAGCCGAGTCCAACTCTCCCCCTGACTGCAAGGCACCAGTAGCTCCGCCAGCCCAGCAGAAACATGCGGAGGAACACTTCCAGGAGCAGAACCTGAGTTTCTTGGTAGCCCAGTAACCTTATTGCAATAAGGGTGCCCTTTTTCCCTGTTGGTACGTTATATTAAAGAACCCAATACCCAAAAAAGGGCAAAAAGGTACCACTGGCATTTCAAGGTCTAAGGCTCAGCTTAGGATATAGGCTTCCAAGGCTTGGGGCAGGCGGCTATAAATTCTGCAACCCTAAGCTGCAAATCCAGGGTCTAAAACCCCTGCGACATGAACCCTCAACCCTAGACCTGGGAAAACTAAACCCTAAACCCCTAAACCCCTAAGCCCTAACCCCCAAAACCCCAAAACCCTAGCCCCTGAACCCCAAAACCCAAAGCCCAAAATCCCAGGAACGCTCTGGAAGCACAGTTCGACGTAAATCCACCCGCTCCAGTCCTGAAGGCATGAGGTTCTTAGGGAGTATCTGCAACACACATGGGTTTAGGGTTTAGGGTTTCAGGGTTTAGGGTTTAGGGTTTAGGGTTTCAGGGTTTAGGGTTTAGGGTTTAGGGCTT